AATGCTCCCGCTTAGCGATATCCGATTCAACAAATCCATTGATTTTTGCTACTCAGATATGAATAAGGAAATGATACAAATATTGATATTATTATCACTGGTGACCTAAATTGCGATATGATGGCAAACAGTCCCACTCATCATACAAAAAGGTTATCCGATCTGATAAATGAGTTTCAGCTAAAGCAACGCATGACAAGTCCGACTAGAATAACGCCAACATCTAAAACATTAATTGACATAATAATGACTAAAGCAAGCGATACCAAAATTATAGTCTCTGGAGTGATACATTTAGGACTGAGTGATCACAGTTTAGTGTACATTTGCCGCAAAGTAGGAATACCAAGGGCGGAACCAAAAATTGTAGAAACAAGGCAGTTTAAATACTTTAATTAATCTGCATTTCAATACGACTTAAAAATGGCATTTCAAAGACACCACAACCTCTATAATTATACCGACCCAAATCATGCGTGGGAGGTATGGAAAACTATTTTTCTTGATATTGCAAATATGCATGCTCCACTTCGGATTCGGAAAGTCAAAAGTGAGCACTGTCCTTGAATGACAAACGAAATAAAAAACGTTGCGCATCATAAATTCTACTTGAAACAAAAAGCAGTCAAATTTAACTCTTCTAATTACCACGAAGCTTATAAACGTTGTAGAAATGAACTTAACAAAAGAATCAAAGCAACTAAGATTCAATTTTACAACACTAAACTACAAAACAGTAAAAATAGTAAAGAAAATTGGAATACATTAAATAATCTGCTTAATAAAATTAACAGGAAATCTAAAACCGCAATTGTTAATGAACTTAGCGTAGACCATGGAAAAAATGTGACACAAGATAAAGATATAGTCGACGAGTTTAATAAATTCTTCACCTCTATAGGTCCCAAATTAGCAAATAACATTACTGACAATGGCTGTAGTCCTGATCCTTTGTAATATATAGACCAAGTCACAAATGTATTTCACTCTCATAGCATATCAAGCTATGAGCTGAAAAGAGAAATACAAAATATGCAAATGGCAAAATCTACAGATCCAGATAAGATCTCAACTAAGCTAATAAAACAGGCAGGCGATACAATAACTGAATCACTCCTAGAAGTGTTTAACACTTTAACCTATCTCTTAGGACAGGTATATTTCCCGATGATTGGAAATTTGCCAAAGTGACTGCAATATATATGTCAGAGGGTTATTTTCTTAGACCTGAAAAAAGCATTTGATGCGATTGATTACCAGATTCTATTGTCAAAACTACAAGCTTATGGGATACGCGATAACACGCTCAAATGGTTCCAATCGTATTTAGATCAAAGAAAGCAAATTTACATGCTAAATAACTGTAAATCTGATATTGAAACAATTCGTTGTGGAGTACCTCAGGGTTCAAATCTTGGACCTCTATTATTTCTCATTTACATAAACGACCTCCCAAGCTGCCTAGAAACAACACACTCTAATTTATTTGCTTGTGACACAATTTTATCATGTCAAGGGCATTTATCCATAGGTATTGAATACAAACTTAACAAAGACCTAGTAAATGGTCAAAAATGGTTATCAGCGAATAAACTAACATTAAACAACGAAAAAACCAAATATATGATTATTGGATCTCGGCAACGATTGAAAAACTTAGATCACGTGCCAAAAATCAGTATAAACGGACATCAAATTGAACGAGTTTATAAAAAGCTTTGGGTATAGTTATAGACGATAGACTTAGCTGGAATAGGCAAAATGAAGAACAATGCAACAAGATATCAAAAAATATTAATCTTTTAAGAAAAGCCAAAGATTTTGTTGGCCTAGATACGCTCAAAATTATGTATAACGCATTAGTCGCGCCTCATTTTAACTGCTGTTCAACTGTTTGGCAAAATAACAACCAAACACACTTAGACAAATTATATAAGCTTCAGAAACGAGCAGCAAGAATAATAACAAATTCGGACTATACTATAAGATCTTCGGACATTTTTCAAAAACTTAGCTGGAACCCTCTTGACTTAGTTTTGAAAAAGCGAGATCTCCTTATGACATTTAAAGCGATTAATGGCATGCTTCCAGAATACGTAACACAACTATTTCACACTTGCGAAAACAATGGTTACGTACTGCGCAGTAGTAATTTAAAGCTGTCTCAACCTAAACCAAAAACGAATTTCTTGAAAAATAGCTTTTCGTACAGAGGAGCAGCGTATTGGAACAACATCCCAGTAAACTTGTTGAAAACCCTAAGAGAGTCAACAAGTTTAAAATCTGTCCACCATCTATTAAATAATTACATCTTGTAAATAAGTAAATAAGTAAATAAGTATATTTTGTAAATAAGTATAATTTAGTTTATTAGTTCCTTCTTTTATAATGCATTTATTTTCCGCACGGCCCTTTGAAAATCACCTATGTGAAAGGTTACCGTGTTTAAAGATCAATAATAATAATAATAATAATAATATGCAGGATTGATTTCTTACCTACTCTTTACAAACGTTTTAGAGGTTGCATGTTGGATTTAATGAACATCCAAATTGCCTGGTACTTTGGTAGTTCATGAATTACTTTTTAAATTTGCACCCTATGAATTCAAATTGTGTTTGAAGCCTTCCATTTTTGTGCGCAATCCATTTTAAACGGTGTTTAAAAACAACCTTCCTGCACTAGAAAATTTACCTTATAAAAGTAATTTAGTGATGAAGATACTAGCAGACTCCAGATAACCCATGCTTGCATGAAATTTTTACAAATTTTAGCGGACATTTTCGAACTGCGCAGTGTTTAAAACTCACTGTATAAAAGAAGCAGAATGTTTTCCCTCTGTTTTGCCTGTATATTAGAAAACGCCTGTCCGGTTGTACGTAGAATATGCGTTCTAGTACGTGAACCAGATAGTAACACATATACTGTTAGTATCTGTGCAGGCTTATGCTTAGGATTCTAGCACTGTTTTGTTTAAGAAATGACAACTATACCTAGAAAGCAAAAAGCGCAGCTTGTACTGTTAAGATGAGTTACTACCCACTTATACATGTACACTCTATACCCTCTCCACCACGCCCCCAAGCAAGTAATATCTACATCTTTCACGGATAAGGAAGGAACAAGGTAAATATTCCAAGTACATAGAAAAATAGTGTTTTCAGACCATGATGTTAACTAAATTATTTAACATCTTAATTTTTTCTTTTTTGTCACGTGATAGGAACAAAAACGTTAGGGACGACATGTTTAAGAAAATGCCCAAAGATATTATCCCCTGTGTGTGGATCAAATGATAAAACATATCCAAACGAATGTGCTCTTAAAATTGCTATCTGTATAAGTCATGGAAGAATATCCAAAGCACACAACGGACGTTGCAGTGAGTTGAACATTCTGCATGAGACTAATTCATAATTATACTATATACAGTATTACGGTAAAAAAATAAGCTATTAAAGGACCAAACAAGAATGACGTACCACTTCTGTTATTGTAAACCCCAAACAATTTCAATGCAGCCTAACATCAGGCCTATGTATATACAGTACATCTCAATTAGCTCTGTATAAACACAATGATTTACATGCATTTACACCATGTAGTATCTTCAAATGTTTCACCCATGGTGAAACTCATTACTAATAATTAATGAAGAAAACACAAAAGAAAATTAAGAAATCATGATCGTGAAGGAGTTTGTATTGTATGTTATGCAATTAAAACCATGTTGATTTACGTAAACTGTAAGTTCAATTTTCTCACCAAATACATTGCATCACATTCATTTATTTTAAATTGTTGAAGAATACGAATGTTCTCAATCAAGACGTTTCAAAAGCCATTCGTGCCCGTGTTGTATCGGATATACAAAACGCTCGCCCTCTGCTCGAGTTTGTATATCGGATACAACACGGCCGCCTCATGTTGTACATAGCACTTAAGGTGGCTCCCAACAGTTCTCTAAAATCTTAAGCATTTTAGGTAACCTTTGTTTTCAACCAAATTTGAAATTTATATTGAATACACTTAAGACAGGGCAATATGATCATTTCCAGGAGAGTTCAGAAGTCTTATGCTGTCGATATATAAACAACGATCTTTTTCCTTCTGTCAATTTTTCTGAATATTTTTTTGAAGATTTATGGTTGATAGAGGAATAACATATTAAAATTTGAATGGAGATTTACAAGACAAGTTTCGAAATATTTATGAAAAACGACTACAGAAAATTCGTCTTGTAGAAGTTCGTGAAATTCTGATGTTTTAATAATTGTCATGCTTAGAAAATGTACGAAGTTTAAAAAAATTTCACAGAAAAAACGCGGGGAAAATAGCCCTAAAGTACAGCTGAAGCTGCTGACGTGCTGAAAATATCGATTCACCATGATCGCGTGCGTGCAAATTATAATGCGTGAACAATACGAAACGAACACTGCGGTAAAACGTCTGCGCATGGATGGTCAACCTTACTGAAGTTTGCCTTGCGAATGTGGTGTCAAGTGTTCCGAAGGTTGTAAAAAGCTCGAAATGGAAGTGACCAGGAACAACTTCGATGTTTTGCCTTTTCTGTGAAAATGCAAGCGAAATTATAATAAATGTGACAACCTAAAAACTAGCAATAATTACAGCCTACATGTGCAAAAAATAGTATTTTTAGTAATTGTCACTTTGAGTTTTTTCACACAGATATTTGAGATGAAAATAAAAGATATATATAATCAAAATACGAAAAGTTGAGAATACAATAACGCATTGAATTAATCCGACGTTTCTTAATTTTTTGTGAAAATCGGTGTGAAAACTTTTCAAAACATTGATCTAGAGTTTGACTTTTCGTATAAACCAACTTGTAACTATCCGCACTACAGGGTGTATAAAAAAGCTGCACAGTTCGATAATGTCCGCTAAACTTCAAATTCCGCAAAATTTGTAAAAAAACATTATGCATCCATGACTAGTTTGGGGTCTGCTAGTATCTTTACCGCTAAAATTATTTTGAAACGTAGCCTACTTTTTCGAGTGCAGAAAGGCTGTTTTTACAGCCACTTTAAAAAATGGCTTGCGCACAAAAATGGAAGACTTTAAAACGCAATTTGAATTCACAGGTTTCAAATTTGGAAGGTTGTTTTATAAACTATTGGAGTACCAGATAATTTGATATACTTAATGTCCTACGCGCAACCTCCAAAATTTGGCCCTTTTTGCCATGATAGTCTTTCCTGCATAATTTATCACACGCGTGACTGATTTTTTGCATGGTTGTTTTATGCATGGTTGATTTCTTGCGTACTCTTTACAAAAAGTTCAAAAATTATGCATAAAAGGCTACTATGGCAATAAGCCCATGTTTTAAATTAAAGGTCGCGCGTTGGACTTACTGTAAATCAAATTGTCTGGTACCTATGAATTCAAATTGCGCAAGCCATTTTTAAAGTGGTTTTTAAAAACAACCCTGCTGCACTCGAAAATTTACTTTTTAAAATAATTTTAGTGGTGAAGATACCCGCAGATCTCAAATACCATGCATGCTTGCACAAAGCAACTTTCACAGATTTTGTGGAATTTCCAGTTTTGCGGACGTTTTCGAACTGTGCAATTTTTTATACACTCTGTATAATCTTTTTAGATTAAGCGGATAAAACACTACATGTGAATTGAGTTGAATTACAGGACTTATGGTGACAGTTCAGGAGTGCCTTGAAGGATAAAATATAATTTCAGTCCGCGACACTGTTGTTGAAAATTGTGAGCTTTCTAAAATACCCTACCGAACGCATTAGATACGCAAAAAAAACACTGAAAGATAGGTTAAAAACTAGTTAACAACACACGTACCGTTCGAATTTTGAAACTAGTAAGTTTAGGATTTTAATAAAAAAACTGACGTTTTCTTTGCAGATAAAACGCAAAAACAACATCCCACGCCTTACAGTATGACTTATTTAGTTGATCGTTTACGTTTAAGCGCAACTTCTCCACCTCACTTGCCAGTATACTGCTGTAATTAATGTAAAACCTATCTATATAGATACAGGGATCGATGTTTTACAACACTGACTAAGCGGTGACGCCATACATATTAGATTGAGTTTCCTTTTTGTTTCAGTCACGAATAAAGTGTGTCCAGCCTTCTGTCCGAATAAGTATGATCCAGTGTGTGGATCAAACGGCAAGACTTACCCCAATCTATGCAGCTTGCGGTTTGCTGATTGTGAATTTGAAAACGACGAAGAAATAACATTAAAACATAAAGGACCATGCAAGGGAAAAGGTAAACATTGTAAAGACTAGCATTTTTAATCACTTATAATAATGCCTGGGCCATTGGGTGATTAAATTAAATTTGCATCATCGTGAGCACGCGTATGCATTTGAAGTTCTTACGGATTATATGTTACCCATCTTGATATTCAATGCTGTGCATCATTATGCTTAGCGCGCATACACTAGCGAACTTAAGATGAGCTATACTTGTGTTATTACCCACTTAGGTGTATACATTCTATGCTCCTCCCCTCTCCCAAGTGATATTTTCATCTTCTACTGATAAGTTAGGAGGTTTGTTGTTTTGAATATTGGTAAATTTCCCAAAGTTGAACTGATAGGGCGACATACAGTTAAGGTCAATTTCTTTATTTTTTGTAACGCTGAAAAGTGCAAAAATGTGGACCGTAAACCAACTTTTCAAATCAAGACCAATTTTTACTAGTCATTTTCACAAGTTCGACACGAAACTATTTGGGAGGAACAAGGCAAATTTACCAAGTATATACTTGGTACATTTGCCTTGTTCCTCCCAAATAGTTTCGTGTCGAACTTGTGAAAATGAGTCGATGAACATGCAAGATCTACAATCCTCACAAGAAATAGTATTTTTTTTACAGTATTAAATGCTTTAACACCTTCCTCCTTCTTGTTAGGAACGACATGTTTAAGAAAGTGCCCAAAGATATTATCTCCTGTGTGTGGATCAAATAATAAAACATATCCAAACGAATGTGCTCTTAACATTGCTATCTGTATAAGTCATGGAAGAATATCCAAAGCGCACAATGGACGTTGCAGTAAGTTGAACATTCTTCATGAGACTAATTCATAATTATATACTATACATGCAGAATTATGGTAAAAGAAACAACCTATTAAAGGTCCAAACAAAGTGTACCACATCATTCTGTTATTGTAAACCACAAACAATTGCAATGCCAACCAACATCTCATGCTTTATCAGATATAAGACACTCGGCTGTCGCCTCGTGTTTTATATCTGGCCTATGGCCATGTATATCTCCGCTTACCTTTTTATAAATACAATTTACACAGCGTCTTCTAATTTTCAGAAAAAATTGCTGTAAAACTCATTAATAATTCAGTTTTCTGTTAATTAATTTTCTATGAACTTTGATACAGATCGTCCTGCCTCTTAAATTATTGTTTTCCCACTTTTCATGCAGGTTCTCCTGAATATTATTTTCATGCACGTTTTTGATCCTTATATTATATAAAGTATAGTGCTTTATGTACTGTTTAATAAACGAGCAGAAGTGTTTTATTAGGTTTAGAGCCACGAGCGCGCAGCGCGAGTGGCTTTAAGCCTGTTTTCCACTAGCGAATTTGTTCGCGCGAATCTTTTGTATTATGAGCTCTCGGCTGGAACTAATTAGATTTTTAATCAATTCTTTTCAAATTAAACAATAGAAAATTCGCTTCGCGCGAAGAAATTCGCTAGTGGAAAACAGGCTTTAGACCTAATAAAACACGACCTGCGAACAGGTGGGAAATTTGTCTGAGCATGCGCGAGCAAAGTGAGCAACACAATTGCGTGGAATACACGCAACGCGTGTTTACAAAAAGGCACAATCGTGTAAATATTACCAAATATTTGTACAAAATAAATGACTGTTTTATGTTGAAAATGGACATGATCTAAATTAATCATACAGAATTTTTTAGTGACGTTCTATTTCAGTACCCTGCCATTGTCTCTGGTGGGCTGTCCGTGTGCATTCGATCTGAAACAGTCGCTACTATGCTGTCGAAAAATTTCGAATGTTTACATGAAAATAGAGGCAAGTCATGCATTTTACAACCTCGTAAACTGTATGAGCCCGGCTATTTTTACGCTTATACCTAAGATATCAAATAAAAATACATGAAACAGAGAACATTTTCAGAAAGTTTTATCGTGAGGCCACGGCCAGTTTTTAAAATATCTTTATTTCTGTTCCGGTCATCACCAAAATTACACTAAAGCCGGGCTTGAATATACAACAAATTTTGAATCTCATCAAGTACAAAAATATTTAACGTGTAACCAAAATATGCTCATGAAATCGAAATTAATATAGC